ACCAGCGCGTGCGCACATCTTACTCCCGCACTCACGTGTCGCTTACTACAGTCGGCTTCTGAGTTGGATCCCACTGGGACGGAGGCCAGGTGCTGACTCCCTGACGCACAGACGTTCCCCACGCCCTAGGAGATGACCCAGCCCCCTCTCTCCCTCTTGCTCCCCTGCTGGACGTGCCACATGGGGATAAACAGGACACAATGGGTGTTGTGAGCCATGTCACACTGCAATTCAAGACTGGGATGAGCCTGGCCATTTCCTTGCCAGAATGTGTGCTACTCCATTTTTATGTGACATTTTTTAACACTGCCTTCATTATAGGTGGCCCAAGGTGAGGAATAAATAACTGCAGACCTGAGAGGAAATTTCTCTGCATAAAGAGGCAGGGAGATGGGTCTCTATTCAGCAGTTCTTTGTCATGTGGTACCGAGCAGGACTGATTCACTTTTCTAGAGAAGTTGGTTTTAGAACTTTTCAAAGATCCCTAAGATAGTGAACACAAACAGCCGTGCAGAGTACAGACATGATTCAGGGACTGGAAAGGAAAACCTTATAATTAAATGGAAGTGCCACCAAAAGGTCCCGCCCGCACTGTCCTGTGATTAAAGAGTTCATGTCATTTCAAGGTGAAGCCGACAGAAAATCCAGAATGCCTGGACCATACCAAAGCATGGAAAGATGTGGTGCGTGGCCCATTAGGATCCCCTGAGTTTACACCTTCACCTTAAGGAGGTGCATTGAGCGCCGAAGTGTAGTTCTGTCCATCTCCGTGTTCAACTTTGGCTTCCCGGGCTGGAGCTTTTCTCATCTTCTTGTCAACACCTTCTTCTTCACCTGGTCTCTGCACCTCTGTCTGGCCATCATCCCCTGGGGTCCTTACCGTGTCCCCTTCCAACAACCCAGCTGTGATATAAGCCCCGCCCACCCCCCCAGTGTAAAGGCATCTGTCAACCATCTGAGCCCTTCAACTGCCCTGCCTGTCACTTAGGTCTATCAAGCTTGTGCCTGGAACATAGCAGATGCTCAGTAAATATTTGCTGAGCAAATGCCTGAATCATCTTTTTCCTCTTCAAGAATAAACTCCAGAGCACATACTTACTGCCAGCTCTGGGTCTCACTGTCCTTTTCTTTCCTGTGCCCTACCTGTCTCCCTAAAACAACTGCCTGTGAAATCCAGAGCTGCCTGAGGTCTTTCTCAGTCGTAGCGTCCCTCCCTGTCGTCTCAGCAGCAGCCGGTTCCCTTTCTTCTCTGGGCTGCAGGGAGGTGCTTTTTCCTTGGTATCTTTCTCCATTATTTAGTTATTTGGGGCATCAGAATCCTGTCTTTTTTATTTATTGTTGTTCAGGACTCTTCCCTGCCCTCTCTTCTGCCTCCTGAAGGAAGCACATGCTTTTCCAGTGTTGTTTGCTTGGCTGCATTCTGTCTGTGAACTCACCTGTGCCAGTGGCGTCAACGGTGACATCTGTAAAGTGACCCCCAAACCCACACTGTCAATCCCGACCTCACTTCTTATCCCCAGTCCTGTAGTCCGGGTATCCACAGAAGAGTTTCCACGTGGAAGTTCTAGCAAAAGTAAACATAATTGATTCTACATTTCCAAAGCAGCTCATTATCTTATACCTCAAATACATTTATTTTCTTGATGTCACTATTTCTGCCTGTCACCCCACTATCCTTCCCAGTTAGCAAGTTTCAAATGTTTCGTGTCATTTTTGAGCCCTTCCTTGCGTTCAGCAACCTGAACCTTACTGTCTTTTCTAGCACTGCCTTTCCTCATTCTGCTGCCTGGCATAGGGCCTGGCCACCTCACACCTGGCCTTTTCACCCCTAGTCTGTCCCCATTCTTGCCCCAGACAATGAACCACCCACGGCAGGTCACCGTTGTCCAGCCGGCATGGTGCTGGTGCAGCAGAACTTCCTGGATTATCTTCCTGACCCGAGTGCCACCTGCTCATAATATCCATGGGCTCTTCATTGGCCATTCAGACACAGGACATGGAACCAACACTTTCTGAGCATTTGTCATGTAGGTAGGACTTCAGCATGTTTATTGTGGAGGGAATTCAGGCTCAGAAACAAAGCGATGTCTGTGGGGTCACATACCTAGTTAGTGGGAAAACTAGGATTTTAATACAGCTTTCTGGCTCAGTGGCAGTACAGAGACTAAAGTGAAATCCCTTAGCCAGGAGTGTGGACCCCTGTGCCATGGGGCACTCTGGTCCCCTGCATGGTCTTCAGCCCATGCCAGGCATGCCTGGTGACTTCCAGTGCACCTCTCAGCTCTGGCCGACACCCTGGCTCCCTGTTCCCCAGAACCCCGCGTTGATCCCCTTCTCTGATCTCTGGTCATGCTGTTGCTGTGTCAAACATCAAACTCATGCCCACTCTCTGTGTAAATTCCATATCCACCCTCTAATGCGCAGCACAAAGAACTTTCCTTATTTCTTCTCTGTCTTTCCAAAGTAATTTCTCCATCCTCTGAATCCCCGCTGGACTGAATAGAAAAATCAATGCTGGTTATAGTTATGCCCCTCTGGCCCTCCAGGGGCCACGCTAGGTTGGCTTCTCTGCGTGAGCATCCCAGAGCATCCTTTAACTCCACCCCACCTCCCCGCATTCCAAGCCCTATTACTTTTATAATTAGTTATTCATTGTCTGCCTCCTACAAATAGAATGTCAGGTCCTCGAGGGCAGGAACCGAGCTGTCTTAAACACCTGCGTCTCTCTCAGTGCCTGCACGTGGTAGACATGTGATGAAATTCATTAAATAAATAAGGTACTGCCTTGCTCTTCCTCTCATAGACTCTGGGTTACTTGCAAGAGAACGGGCACATCTTTCTTGCCCATGTCACCTATAGCATCTGGCTGTACGTCTTGTTCATAGTAGACACTCAGTTGCCACTGCATGGAATGAACTGCAGTGAGGGGCTTGGCGGTCAGTCTCTCATGTGGGTGTGAAGCTGGCGAGTGGGAGCTCGCACGCCTTATGCTAGACTAACTTCCCCGCCCTCCTGTGACTTCAGGGAGTTGTGTGGAGCCCTCGGCAGCCCCCCCAATGTCCTTGCTTCGTGACCTCACTGAAGGGCTCTTGGAGGTCAGGAGTGGTCAGGACAGAGCTTGCTGTCAGTGGCACTCTGCCAAGAGCATAGTTGTGAGCATCCAGCGAAATCTGACTTTTGCGTTTTATTCTCCTTGCCTGAGAGCCACTATTCCTTTATCCTCACCGTGCTCTCGCTGCTCCCCTTTTTGCCTTCTCCCCTCCTTGCAGTTTCTAAGCCCCTGCTCTGTTCACAGCACTGCTAGAATTCCTCTCTTCCTCCTGCGGCTTGCAGCCTGCGGGACTCCCTGGGGACCGTGCCTTGGGCTGTCCTGGCTGAGCCGCTGGAATCTCCCATTGTCCTCTGCACTCCCCTGGCTCTCTGCCACCACCCTCTCTGGGCGTCGTCCTCCTGCTGTCAAAAAAAAATATCAGTAGAGACCCACTTAGGTGAAGGCTGAGAGATGGACATCATAAAAATATTATTAGTTGTCCTGAGAGGATGTAATAAGGGGAGTTTTATGAGGTATGACAGCTTTCCAAAGTTAATGAACAATTTGGCACAGCCTGGAACAGAACTCGAGCTCGCCAAGGCCACACGGGGGCCAGCCCCACTCGGGCACACTGGGGTCCGTCCTCTCCTTACCAGGGGGGTCATTTTTGCTGTTTCTGTCTGTAAAAACAGTAAATGTGAATCCTTTTCTCATATCGCAGACTATGAGACTGTTTTCCTCCCCACCCCCCGTGTCTCTGTTCAGAACTTGATTGTACTAGAGAAGTGTCCCTTGCCCTGGGAACAGTAGAAAGCACAAGCCTGGCTTCAAGCAGCCTGCTTTTGTAAGGTGTCTGGAGGGCACAGTATGCAGAAGGCCACCAGTATATTGGACAGAAGATTATTTAATTGGAAACCGTCTTATACTTAGCATAAGAAGACGAGAGACGCTCTCCTCGTGGCTGTCTCACTCTTAAAGCCACTTGTCAGGTGTCCTGTTGCACACACTCAGCGCCGCTGGCTAGTTTAGGGTCTCAGGTGGACTAACTTTGGACCACAGTGGCCTTAGGTGGGTCTGACATATTCAGGGACTGTCCCGCTTGGTCCCTGCTAAGTGTACTGCACCTGCCCCGGTTGCAGAGTGTGTGACCCTGGTGCCCGCATTTCAGGAGTGCTAGGGTGTAACCCGACCTGCGAGACCGATTGTAAACAAGGGTTATTTAAGTGGCTTCGCCAGGTATCACGCTACCTGGTCGTATCATCTTCTTCCAAGCTGGTGTGAATCTCTGAGGCAGCCATATAGGTAAATAATAGGGCGGCCACGATAGCAGTTAACCTCTATTGAACTCCGGTTGTGTGGCAGTCACCAGGGAGCACTTGGCGTAGTGGCACCTGCCTGGTCTGCGGGGCAGTCCCATGTAGTCCTGTGTCCTGTGTAGTATTAGTATTCCCACTTCACACACGAGGAAATTGAGTCTTAAAGAGATCATATAATTTGCCCAAGTCACATAGCTTGTAAGTGGCAGGGCTAGGATTTGAACCCAAGCCAATCTAACTCCAAAATGCATGCTTTCTACCCATCCACGAAGCCAAGGAAGATAATGGAAACACCAAACCCTCGGGTAGCTGTGCAGTTTTGGGTTACGGGCAGATTCTTAGACTTAAGAGGTGACAGAGTCTGGTGCTAGCTCTGTTACCCTAAAGAAAAATACAAATAATGAACATTTTCTTCCCATCTCAATTTCTTCATTTACAGAATAGGCAGGTGTGAAAACCATACCCATGATATTTTTAAAATAATCCTGCTGCAGCTGCCACCATTAACATTGCTACTTATGGATGCTGCCTGTTCCCAAGCAGGTTGGAAGTGCTTAGACTTATCTAATGTTTTTTTTTTTCCCCCAAAGTGACAGGGAACCTCATACTCTGTAACTAAAGGTATCTGTTTGATCTTGTTTGTTTGTATGCAGAGAATGGCAAATCTGTCCATTGGAAACTGGGAGCCGACAAGGAAGTCTGGGTGTGGGTGATGGGTGAACACCATCTCGACAAACCCTACGACATGCTCTGTGACGAAATCATTGCTGAGCGGGCCCAGCTGAAAGAGCAGGAGGCAGAAGAGCTCAGGTACGAGATCTACAAACCAACAAGAGACTTTAAAAGCTCCCCACACTTTAGAAAACACTGCAAAAGATGCCTTTCGCTCACAGTATATCTGGTGGGACAGCGAGGTGTTCTTTGAGGGTCACAAAATCATTTTAGATCTCTCTGCAAAGTCTCTTTACACTTTTGGTGTAAAGACCTTCATTCCCACAATGTTATGAGATTAGCTTCATTTTGCTGTGTGTCCTTCCAGTTTTGATTTGTGATTAGATTTGATATAAGCATGCAGATTCCCCATCGGTTATCATTGGTGTCACTGGAATTGTGTTAGACTAACACAGGCCGATGCAGTTGTCAGGAATATATGTGAGAAATGCAATGACTGCTCAAGTTTCGAACCTTCTAAGAGGAAGGTTGCTCAGACAAGGGCAGCTGAATAAATAGGCGCTGTGGGAATTCAGAGATGAACAGGGAGCTTCTAGTCCAGGAGGGGCAACAGGCAGATGCACAACTAGCTGCAGCCAGTGCGGGCTGTGATTTGTGCTGCAATTAAAGGAGCCAAGCAAGCACAGGTAGAATTCCATCATTCTGATCCACAGGACAAAGTGAAATCTGAACTGAACCTCGAAAGTGAAGTAGTTTTCTAGCTACTGAAGGTCAGGAAGGAAAGTGCAGGCAGAGCGCATAATCGAGACCCCTAGACTTGACTATGGGTCATCCTTTGGGGAAGGGCGGGGTCTTCTGAGCATTTGGGGTACACTTAGCCAAGTGGCGGAAGACACGGGCCATGCTCTAAAGTGGCTTGAAGGCCAGATGTTGGAGAGTGGACCTTATTCTGTGGGCAGTGAGGAGGTTTTTGGAAAGGGAAGTGACATCATCAACTGGAGGATGGTAATATAGGACGGTAACATCAACTAGAGATATAGACGGTAGGGAAACTGAGGCAAGTAACGGAGCCCCACTGCTAGATGGTGCCTGAGGCAGCCTCTGTGAAGCGTGCTGTCCCTTGGGGTCCTCCTCTAGCTCTGGGCAGTGGTGGTGCCAGCCCTACTGTGAGCTGGTGAAGTGTAGACATCAGGGCGGACGGGAGGGACCCGAGGGCTGGTGATGGGAGCAGTGGACTTCCAAGGGCTGGGGGAATCCTGCCCACCAACACCTGTGGCTTTAAAACTGCATGTGGACAGATGATAAAGGGATGATTTGCTGACCGATCAAAAGGAGGGCATGTGCTCTAGCAGTTTAGCTTCCAAACCAGGAGCTGGGCGGGCCTGGGTTGAAGTCTTGGCTGTGCCACGATGGAGCCTTGGAGAAATTATAACATTTCTTTGAGCCTCTTATAACAAGGTGAGGATACCAGAGTTTTTCTCACAGGGTGGTTATGAGGATTGAGGTATTGTCACTGAAGTCCCTAGCAAAGGGCCCAGCCTGTTGTAAGCCCTCGGTAAATGGTGTCTGTTTCTGTTTTCCACATACGTCGAACGTCCCCATCTGCTTTGGAAAAGCTGTCCTGGTTGAAGAATGTTTGTGACAATTCCACTTCTGTGTCTCTTCAGAAAAACCCAGTCTGAAGAATTCAATAGCTTCAAAACGAAATCGCAGTACCGTGGCCTGCAAGTCCCAGTTGACCGGGAGGCTCAGGACATCCGCAAGACGGGGACAGACGGAGGGGATCCGCGGCAGGGACCCAGCCTGGCACCAACGCTGGGAGAGGAGAAGATCCGAGTGAGTCTTTCGTGTCTGTCAACGTGCAGAATTTCATACCCAGGGCAGATAAAGATGTGGGGGCCACGGAGAGGAATGTGGCCACGCGTCAGGATCTGAAACTGGGCGGGATACTGCCCGGCTTTAAGGTTCTGCTGTTGGTTTCATTCTGGGGGGATTTGGCTTCCCTGAGACTTTATGAAAAAGAGAACACCCCTTTTCATGGGACTGATGGTACTAAGAACTCCACGAATAAAATTAGGCATTTTAAGATATTTTCAGGTGCCCCCCCCCTTTCCCACCATTTATACATCTTCTGTTTTAAGAGGTTGGCAGACTTTTTTTCTGTAAAGGGCCATTTGGTAGACAGCTCGGGCTTTGTGGGTGACATGGTCTCTGTCACAGCTACACACCGAGGAGTGAGCATGGCCACGTTCTAATAAAATCTGACTGTCAGAGACAGGCAGAGGGCTGGATCGGGCACATTTGTGATTTAGGTTGTGTTCTGTTGAGTCCTCCCCTCTTTTTGCAGACTCGAACACTGGCTTTCACAGACTGTGCCCGTTGACTATGGGGACAGTTACGTCCCCAACACAGTGGAATTTTATGCTCAGAACTGGTATGAATTCTCCTGTGGTTCAGGCGGCTTAAAAAATCTCAACCATAATTTGCTGCTTGGATTATAGTTTGGAAGAATGATAAAGCTAGTATGAAATACCTTATTCTGCCAGGAATTTACCCTGAGAATTTGCAGTTGTTTGACTTGAGTTCGAGTCTCCATCCCTGCAACACTGGTGGTGTGTGCTCATGACCTCTTGGAGGCTGTCAGATGGGGGAGTGGCTATCTCCTCTCTGCTTTGCTGGTCTAGTAAGAATCTAATAACCAACGTGGGTCAGGGGTTATTACATGGCAAAACACACGCTGAGTGTGTCTACCTAGTCCTCACAACAGTGCTATGAACTAGAGACCATTTGTATTTGCCCATTTTACAGATGAGGAAGCTGAGGCCAGGTGTGTTTGGTTAAACAACCTGCTCAAGGTCTTATTCAAACCCACATCTACAGGACTCCAAGGCATTTCTTAACTATTCACTCTTGTACTCAATTGCCTCCATTAATACGAGGCGTGTGAAGAAGCCTTATAAAGGGGTACAAATATGAGACTGAAAGTATTTAGGAGTATCAAATTCTAAAATTTGGTTTACATCTCAGGGACAGCCCTGGGTTCTTTCCCCAGATCCCCAGTGAGGCACCCCAACATTTGCAGGCCTTCTCTGCACCCAGCATGTTTAACACCAAACCCCTCTAAGCAGCTGCCTTCCCAGCACCCCTAAAATGAAGAACAGTTGCAGCAACGAATGTCCTTCAAGAGCATTAAGCATGTGTGCGCATCTTTGTGCTTGAATTACAACACTTTCCTAGCAAAAAAAAAATTTTTTTAAATAGGCCAGAAGATTAAAATGGAAATTAAAATAGATACCATGGTTATTATTCTTTAGCCATCTCATAGATACTAAAGGGAGAGTGGTGCTGTTCTGTTATGTGTCAGCTAAACTGTCACATGGACAGAGAGAGGGTCAGGGGACAGGGAAACATTTAGGTGCAAGGAATATGGAAAGAAATGGATGAAGGGTTTTTATATTTCTGCTCTTCATCTTTCCCCATGTTAGAGAAGATGCTCTCAAGGTCTCCGGTGATGTTTGCTGAAGTTCATTCTGACAGCAGGATGCACAGGGAGGCAGGTGACCTTCACAGCTACCAGTGTGAGCATTTAAGTAGTAGGTCGTCTTCTGTCTCTGGCATAGCTGACTTAATGGTAGACTTGGATTTTTATTGTAAGCTCCATATGTGTTACTATACTGGGCTAAATAGTGTCCCTCCAAACTTCACGTCAACCCAGAACCTCAGAATGTGAGTTTATTTGGAAATAGGTCTTTGCAGATGTAAATTAAGGATCTCAAGATGAAATTACGGTGGATTTAGGGTGAGCCCTAAGTCCAATGACAGGTGTCTATATAAAGAGGAAGGCCAGGTGAAGAAAGAGGCAAAGAGCAGAGTTACGCTGCTCAAGACAGCAGCCACCGGAAGCTGGAAGAAGCCAGGAATGATTCTCCCCTGGAGCCTTAAAGGGGAGCCCAGCCCTGCCCGACACCTCAATTTCTGACTTCCGGCCTCCAGAACGGTGAGAGAATAATTATCTGCTGTTTGAAGCGACCACGCTTATGGTAATTGGTTGCAGTAGCCCTGGGAAAGGAATGCAGTTACTTCAGCACGCTTTCTCAGAAATGTTACTTCATGCTACCCTGATTTAATAAAATGGTTATTAAAATAGAAAGGCAACCATTTCAGAGGGACTTACATACTTTCTGGAATGCCAGAAATAACTTGAATCCCGCCTCCTTCATCTCCTGGTACTGTAACATTGAACTCACGAGTTTCTCTATTCATAAAAAGGGAACAAATAATATGTGCGGCAGAAAAATGGCAAAGATGTTCACACTTGGATCTCGGAAACCTGTGAGTATGTGACTGTACGTGGGGAAAGGGACTCTGCACCTGTGACGAGTGATAAGGACCTGGAGGTGGAAGATGACCTGGATTCACTGAGTGGCCCCACCTGACAGTGTGAGTTCTGGAAAACAGAATCTCTCCTGGCTGAGGTCAGAATCGGAGGGAGATGGGGCTATAGATGGTCGGAGAGATGGGATGTTGCTGCTTTCGACCATGGAGGAAGGGGCCACGCATAAAGCAAGAATGTAGGCAGCTTCTAGAAGGTGGAAAAGGCAAAGAAACAGACTCTCCTCTGGAGCCTCTAGAAGGAACACGGCCTTGCCGACACCTTGATTTCAACCCAGTGTTGGACCTCTGACCGATGGAAATGTAAGATACTAAGTTTGTGATGTTTTAAACCACTGAGTTTATCATAATCTGTTACAGCAGCAGTAGAAAACTAATGCCATCTGGTAGCATTCAGTGATAAGGAAATGAGATAATTATTTCTATGTCTAACACACATCAGATATTTGGTTAGCTCACTTTCCTTTTCCCCTAAAAATTCTTTTAACTTAAAAATATAGAAGAAAATGTTGGCAAATCTCTTATAGACACAGGTCTAGGCAAAGAATTTATGAAGAAGACCCCAAAGGCAATCACAGCAACAACAAAAATAAGTGGAACCTGATCAAAATAAAAAGCTTCTGCACAGCCAAGGAAACAATAATACGAACAGACAATCTACAGAATGGGAGAAAATATTTGCATGCCATACATCTGATAAAGGGCTGGTAACCAGAATCTCCAAAGAACTCGAGCAAATCAGCAAGAAAAAAAATTAACCTCAATAAAAAGTGAGCAAAAGACATGAACAGAAACTTTTCAGAAGAAGATAGACTAATGGCCAAGAAACATGGAAAAAAAAAATCCTCAGCATCTCTAATCATCAGGGAAATGCAAATCAAAATCATAATGAGATAATGAGATACTACCTAACTCCAGTGGAGAATGACTCTTACCAAAAAGTCCCAAAACAACAAATGCTGGCGTGGGTGCAGAGAGATAGGAACATTCATACACTGCTGGTAGGACTGCAAACTAGTACAACCTCTATGGAAAGTAGAATGGAGATACCTCAAAGAACTAAAAGTAGACCTGCCATTTGGTCCGGCGTCCCACTAGGTATTTACCCAAAGGAAAAAAAAGACATCATCTACACTCTAATGTTTATAGCAGTGCAATTCACAATTGCAAAGATGTGGAAACAACCCAAGTGTCCATCGATACATGAGTGGATAAATAAAATGTGGTATATGTATACCATGGAATACTACTCAGCCTAAAACAAAAAAAAAGAAAAAAAACCTAATACCTCTTGTATCATCCTGGATGGAACTGGAGACCATTCTTCTAAGTGAAGTATCACAAGAATGAAAAAGCAAACACCACATGTACTCATTAAATTGGAGCTAATCGATTAACACTTACGTGCATATATGGAAATAATATTCATTGGAAATCAAGCAGGTGGGAGGAGGTGGATGGGAAAATTCACGCCTAATGGGTACAGTGCACACCATCTGGGTGATGGGCACCCTTACAACCTTGACTTAAATGTTACAAAAGCAATTTATGTAACCAAAATGTTTGTACCCCTGTAATATTCTGAAATTAAAAAAAATGCAATTCAGGTTTAAAGATTTCCAAGTGTCAGATATACTTCATTTTAACTATAATATCTAAAAGGATATTGCCTTGTCTTTAAAATTCCTCCATGTACCCAAGACCTAAAATCTGTTTATAAAAAGGGAAACCTTCAAGCAATTTTTACTGAATTTAGTGGTCGTGATGCTTGTCTGAATAACCGAGGAAGGATTCAAAGAGCAGTCATCTTCCTGGATTATAAATGATACTTCAGGAAAATCAGCTGTAGATTTACTAAAGTAGTCTTGTTAGATCTGTAATAAATTTCCTCAGGACAGATAATCCCTGGAAACTGTGCTCCGTAGTCTCATAAAGTGCACCAGACCTGAATCGGAAAGCACTTCTTACTGGTCTGATCTAAAAAAATCTGTCAAGGGCTATGGAGAGTGGGTGAAAGTTAATTTCATCCTGAATGTTGATGTGCGCTCAGCATCATAGGAGCCCTGTGGCTTCTACGTCAGTGACTTGCAGGAGGTGGTGCTTCTAGTTAATAGTGACCCCTTATATCTGTGCTGATTTGCCCGTTGCTGTCAGAAGTCCAGTTAATGGAAGAATAGCATGTTGTGGTCGTGAATAAGGGTATTTTGTTTATGAACGTAAGAGTAGACTGAATTTCTGCATTTGTTACCAGTGAGTGTTTTCTCAGCTCTGCTCTGATTATGTTACAAAAGGATCAAGGCAAGCATGTGATCAGGGTCCCCCTTTGGGCCTGTGTGGAACTTGGGGTAAATCCTACAGTTACTTTGTTATTCTCCCTCTTGACCCACGAATATTTTGAATGGGATGGAATCGGGTTAACAAGGGAAGAGAGCAACACAGCATAG